CTTTCACACCATCACAGAGTCAGAAGAGCAGAAAGTCAAACCACCACTAAGTTAGAAGCCACCTGTATACTGTCCCCATTTCCCAGAGGTGGAGACCGAGACCCTAAGACAGCAAGCACTGTGCCCTGGACCATGCACTTTCAGAGCAAGCTCTGGGGCACAAAGGTGAAAAGGAGGACCTCAGCCAGCAAGGGGTTTCTGGGCAGCTTGGTGGCATGGTCACAGTGGCAGAGCGCCACAGATCCGGACGCCATTGGAACTGCAGCCCCTCCTCACTCACTACCCGATGGGAGTGCGACCTCCCTCCACCGGACATCTTACAAGAACCAGTTTTCCAAGAGGGACTTGGCTACGGTTTGCCCTGGGAAGATGCCCACCAACTTTGCATTCCCTGGCTGGGCTGGACCAGTTTGGTGCCACCCTGTTCAGGGAGCCCAGCCAGATGGGAAAGTGCGTGCCCTGCTCTGCGGGAGTTCGGCTGTGAGTCCCCGCGGCCAGCCAGGTCCCGCCACAGCGTGGCCCGCGTGGCCAGCCCTTTCTGAACGTCCCACACTATTTTAAGGCCCACTGAGATCTAAACAGGATTTGCTGCTCACCGGGGACGGTCTATTAAAGTTTTCCACTGGAACAAGATTTAAACGCTGCAACTCAAAACATGGCTGGACAATGGGCCCTGATTATCAAGCATTCCAGAATATCCTCTTTGGAGACACGGCCCTCCTTTCTCCTTCCGGGCCTCTCCAGGCCGGCACGCATGCGCACATAGACCAGGCAGCTGCCTGGCCTCGGCCGGCGGGGCTGGCAGGAAAGGGCTTTCCCTCTACGAGTCGGCTCTGGGGTTCATCCTGAGAAGGGGGACAAGGGGAGGCTCTCTGTCCACACCCACCTTAGAGAAGGCGCTCTCCTGGTGGTAGTGTCCCTGGTATTCCATGCTAACCGGCTCACACCTCCCTCCAGAGCCACAGGCGGCTGGGTGCCCGCCTCTCGCCTGGCTGACCTCACCTTCTACCCGCTCGCTCCCCTGCTAACCCCTCACTCTCCAGGGGTTTCTCCAGCTGCCCCTCCTCCAACCCCAACCACCGTCTGTGCAGGAAGAGACACCCAAGGATTCCTCAGTGGTCCCCAGTGCATGCCTGTCAGTTGAGTTCGGCCAATGGGCGGCAGCAACAGGTCAGAGGGCGGAGGAGACAGGAAGTGTGGGACTCCCTCCCCAGGGCAGTGGCTGGGTCACTCCACAGGAACCCCTCAGTCCCAGCGCTGGCAACACTGCCCACCCTCCCTGTCATGCCTGCGGGCCCCTTCACCTTCCTGCACCTGTCTGTGGCCTCCACTAAACTCTCAGCTGACTTCCCACAGCTCATGCCCATCTGGGAGCTCCCTGTGCACTCTGCTGACTGCATTATCTGAGTTCACACCACAGCTCCGCCTTATTATTCGGGTGACCTTGAACCAAGTCAGTGAATCTCTGATGCACACAAAAGCCATCAGAATAGCAGCAGGCACTCAGTAAACAATAAACAGAAGCAGTTGTTACTCTTGTTGCCACTGCAGTCACACCCTGTCTTTTGCTCTATGGGGCCGCAGCCCAATCATCAATGGCGCTCCGGATGACAAACCTTCACATTCCCAAGCCCAGTGCTGATGTCTGCACACAACCCCACCCCACCTCCACCCCTACCCCCGCCCCACCCCAAGGCTACTGCCTCGCAAAGGATTACCTTGGAACCAGTGTTGCACAGCAGGTTAAACCCGGGCTTGCAAGGACAGCACATCAGAACAGTGGAGACTCAACTGCTCTGCTTTCAATCCAGCTCTCTGCAAAAAGTGCCCTGGAAGGCAGCAGAAGATGGCGCGGGTCCTTGGGCCCCTGCCACCCATGGAGGAGACCTGAATGGGTTTCTTAGCTTCTGGCTTAGACCTAGTCCAGTCCTGGTTATTGGGTCCATTTGGGAGAATGAGTCAGTGGAAGAAAGATCTCTGTGTATGGGTTACTCTGCCTTTCAAATAATTTTTTTTCAAAAAGGAGAGAACCATCTCACTCTGCATGCAAATTGTGTTTTAAATTCATAAACAGCCATGTCCTCTTAAAACGACATCTGATAGCCACAACTCCACAGCAAACAAAGTCAAGCCATCCCAAGCCAGTCGCATCAGGCAGCACAAAGGTTATGGACACTGGGAAGGAATCTGCATCCCAGAGGTGAGCTGGGGGCAAGTGCCCGCCCCAGGCCTGCCTCCCCCTCCGAACAGGACTCAGCCTCAGCCTCCCAGGCCACTCTACAAGACGGGGAAGGCAGCCAGCACCCTGGCAAGTGCAGAGAGCTCAATCAACACGAGCTCCCTTTGTTCTCCTTAGTAAGACAGAATAATTATTAGGGGAAACCCAGGACGTTAGGGATAATACTCACTAACATTATCCACAGCCTGCTTCAAACACTCTATCAAGGAAATTTTTCCCAAAGTGCACTTTCCAAGAACAAGCATTCATGAAGTCACCAGGGTTTCAGAACTTCCCCTAACTTCTGGTCTTCACAAGGCGATGCTTACGTGATAAAGGGTCGTGACAGCAGCAAGCCAGCCCAGCCTTCCCTTTTCTCCACAGGCTGCCAGGAGCTGGAGCCTGCAGTCCTGAGGGCAAGGCTCAGGCCCAGAGGAAGGAGCACCCACGGCCTCTCCTCTCTGGGAGGTGGCCCCAACCAGAAATCCAAACATCCATCGCCACAGCCCATCCCCGGCCCTTCGGGAGGCACCAGGTAGCAACCACGGCTGAAGGAAGCGGGCCTGTTTGCCAGTGCTGGAATGGAGCAACACTGTTGAGAACTTCCTCTCAGGAGGCCTGACTTCTGGCCCGATGGTTTGCGTCTGTGCTCTGCAGTGTGGGACAGACCAGTGAAGGTCAACCGGAAATAACTGCTCACATCTGCTTCCCCGTCCATGAAGACGGCTTCACCTAGCCTGGAAGCTTCAAGACAAGGGGAGTGGATGAGGGACCATTTCCTCCTGCAGCCTGGAGGCACAAGGGGCAAATCCAACCCACCCCCGCCGTTCCATCCCCATCTGCAGGACAAGCTCCTTATTCTCAATGTGCCCCAGTCTCCTCCTGTATAAAACGGAGACAACGTGGGAATTAAATGATTCGATGCACAGCCAGCTGTGCCTGCAACACATCAGGAAGTGCTCCATGAGTGGTAATCATTTTGTTGTTAGCAATCAGCACCACTTCCGTCTCCAGCCTCTGCACCTGTCTGAGTCTGGTCAGCTCCAACAAGGGTATTCCACTCTCCACAGTGAGAGGGCTTCAAAAGCAGTCACTCCGAAGTACTGGCTATCTGGTTCAGTCTTAACCCGACCCGGTCACAGCCTGCGTTCAGCATCTCTTCATGTGCCCTTCCTTCAAGAGTATCTGCCAACCACTCACTAAGAGCCAGGCAATACAGAGAGCATAGACAGAGTCCCGGCTGCTACCCTGCAGTGGAGCAGTCACACCGAAAACAAGCAAAGTACAACTTTTTATAAGCTGTGATTGGTGCCAGAGAGGAAATCAACAGCACTGAGTGACAGGGAATGGCTGGAGAATGGACCTTTTAGGTGACGTGGTCTGAGGAGGTGGACTGTAGTTGGGATAAGCTTTTCAAAGAGCTGGGGGAAGAGTGTTCCAGGAGGTGGAAAGCATAAGTGCAAGGGTCCTGTGGCAGAAAGAGTAAGGGTCAGGGAAGGAAGAGAAGACCAGGGTGCTGGGCAACAGGGGGAGCACAACTAGCTGAGGCAGGGAGCCAGGCAGGGCCAGGTTGTTCAGGGTTTTCAAAGAGTAGACAGTGGCAAGAGGAAGGTTTTATGGAGGCTTAAAGTACTGTGCCAGCTTGTCTGTGTAGAAGAGATTGTAAGGGAGCCACAGCAGAAGCAAAGTGACCAGGTAGGCAGAGACGACCTGTAAACAAAGGTGATGGTGGCCTGCATCCAGGGTGGAGGCAGAGGGGAGGGGACTTGAAGGGAACAAGGACTAGGCCATGCTTAAAATGAGGTACAAAGCCCTTAAACGTCAGTATCACCCATGTGTTTCTCAAAGATCCGATTCTCAGGCCTCACCTGAAAGCTCTGGGGGTTGGACTCGCCATCCTGCGTCTTTACCAGCCCTCTGGGTGACTCTGAGAGTCCCTGAACAAGATGCCTGATAGTATTAATGAACACACAGGTGTACGCCCTAGGGACTGGCTTCATACTCCTCAAGGGCCAGGCGGAGCCAAACTCCAAGATACTGAGATTTATTTGTAGAATGAAGAATTTGTCCATGGGGTTGACATCCACTTACCCCGCCCAAGGCCAGCCCAGGCCAGTCTAGAGAAAGTGGGAACCAGAAGAAGGCACTAGGCGTAGCCCAACAGGGGAGCGGGACTGGAAAGCAGGAGGAACAGCTTCAAGGTGCCTGTGGCCATCTTCCAATGCCGGGCCAGGAATGCAGGCAATCCTCAGAGTCCTGGAGGCAGGACTGGCCAGTGGCACAAAGGACTTCGGAATGTCTGCTTCTCCCCAAGTGACCCATGCAATCCACCTGAAGCCCTCAGCAACCCTTCCTGGCAGGATGACGCCAGGGATTATGTGCAACCAGCAGGTAGCACAGCCAGAATCTGATGTGCAGAGGTCGTAAAAAAAAACTCAACCTCACAGGCCTTAGGACAGACTTCCACTCACAGACCCTAAAGCAGTCCCTTTTCTCCTCATTCTTCTCAACTGAAGTGACAGCTATCATCCAAGGTGACCCAGAAAGGCGGAGCCCAGAGCCCAAAACAGACAAGGAAATAAACAGGCAATCATAATGGCATTGCCCATCACCCCATCCTATGTACTCCCTGGTACTGAATAGGGGGAAAGAGCGGTTTCTGCTCAACAGGGTTTGGTTTTTGGTTCTGGAATATCATTAACAGTCACTACTGTTCATTAAGGAACTCCACAAATATCATTCAATGTTAAATAGTCTGCCCAATTCATAGAATTCTACTTACTTCATCCAAATGTATGTGGATCTAACCTCTTCTTGACTGTCTTGACGACTGTCTTGAGAATGCTCATTCGCTCAGATAACCACTTTATGGACCATGCACCCTGTTAAACACCACAGCAAGAAGGACCATTAGTAATAGTTTGCATGTCAACAGGTTGACAGGCTATCTGGAATGCTGTTTAGAGAAGTCTGAGATGGAATCCAGGCTCAAAGGAAAACAAGGTCATGATCAATTAGTGATGCCTGCTGTGAAGGTACCAGGGAGAAAGTGACAAGTGTGGCATGCATTTGCTGTCTCTGCCCTGGGGATACAGAGGTGTCCACCTCCTCTGGGGCTCACAATTTAGGTAGGTAAACTAAAGAAATAAAGAACCAAACAACACTGGAATCTGTGCCCAGATGGGGGTACTCTCAATTTTGAGGAAAAGGCTGAGAACAACACTTGACCTTCTTAAGTTGCAGCTGTAAAATGGGAACAATACCTACCCAGCCTATTCGACAAAGACACGGTGTCTTTAGAATGCACTGAGCAAATGGTTAAAGCCAATACCAACGCTGACATTATCCCTGATTGAACCTACAGAGGATTCTGACTTGAAGAATCCTAACTTGCGAAGCGCAAAAGGCCCCGAGGAGAGAGCAAAAGTAGGAAGTCATCCACATCTCCAGCTCATTTCATCCTCACTGCTCCCAGGAGACACACCCTTGCCACTCATCAGCACCCTCCTGCTCCCAAACCCAAGTCACTTCTGCGTGAGTCTTCATCCTGCCTCTTAGCAACATGGCAAAGGGCAACTCTCCTTTCTTGAGAAGTCTTTCTCCACTGGGCTCCAACATTTCACACCCACCTGGTTCTTTTCTCATAAATTGCTCAAGTCCCGGATTTACTTTGCCCAGGGCCTGCCTGACATCTAATGGATAAGCTAACAGGCACTTGCAATTGAACACATCTAGACAGGACACTCTCCTTCCAAAATCTACACTCCTTCTTCCCCACCAACATGCAAGACACCAGCACCCATCCAATCCAGAAGTCAAAAGTTTGGGTGTCATCCTTGATTTCTCTCTCCTCCTACTCCATATCTAATCCATGAGGCAGTCCTATTGGCGCTACTTCTTTCCACTTGCTTGGCTATCACCCAGATCAGGACACAGTCACTCTTAACTGTAATAAAGCAATCTGGGCCGGCGCCGCGGCTCACTAGGCTAATCCTCCACCTGCGGCGCCGGCACACCAGGTTGTAGTCCCGGTCGGGGCGCCGGATTCTGTCCCGGTTGCTTCTCTTCCAGTCCAGCTCTCTGCTGTGGCCCGGGAGTGCAATGGAGGATGGCCCAAGTGCTTGGCCCTGCACCCGCATGGCAGACCAGGAGAAGCACCTGGACCCTGGCTTCAGATCAGCACAGTGTGCTGGCCACAGCGCACCAGCCACAGCGGCCATTGGGGGGTGAGCCAAAGGAAAAGGAAGACCTTTCTCTCGGTCTCTCTCTCACTGTCCACTCTGCCTGTCAAAAAAATAATAAAGCAATCTGGTCCCCTCCCCCCATTTCCAGCCCTCTGCAGAGAGAGCTGCCGTTTCTCACCCCTACGCCTTCTCCAACCACCACTCCGATCCTACCTTTCACTTCTGCCATCTTGCCCTCCCACTGTTCCTCACATAACCAGGCTTACTCCCATCTCATGTTATGGTCTGAACAGGATTTTCTTCCCCCAAATCATGTAGATGTTTAAATTTCAAAGTCTTGGCCAGTGCCGCGGCTCACTAGGCTAATCCTCCGCCTGCGGTGCTGGCACCCCGGGTTCTAGTCCCGGTTGGGGCGCTGGATTCTGTCCCAGTTGCTCCTCTTCCAGGCCAGCTCTCTGCTGTGGCCAGGGAGTGCAGTGGAGGATGGCCCAAGTCCTTGGGCCCTGCACCCGCATGGCAGACCAGAAGAAGCACTTGGCTCCTGGCTTCGGATCAGCGCGGTGCCATTGGAGGGTGAACCAATGGAAAAGGAAGACCTTTCTCTCTGTCTCTCTCTCTCACTGTCCACTCTGCCTATCAAAAAATAAAAAATAAAAATAAATAAATAACCTTCAAAGTCTTATATTAAAGATTAATATAACGGACTAATGGCTTGATCCAATTACGGAGCCTTTGGGAAATGAGCAGATTGGATTAGGTTGCTAGGGTGGGGTCCCATAAGCAAATCATGATGGCTTTGTCCAGAGAAACCAGAGGTTAGAAGAGGAGTAGGTTCCTATGTCTTTCTGCTTCCTGGCTTATCATGTGACCTTCCCTTTGCCCACGGGCAGCCACAGTAATCCGCCACTCTCACTGATGGCTGAACCAGTGGGACTGCCCAATCTTGTCCGGGAAGCCACAAAACTGTAAACTGAAATAACTTAACTCCTTCCTAAAAACCTCTCCCAGGGGAGGCACAGTTGTGGCACAGGTTAAGCCACCATATCCCATATCAGAGTGCCTGGGATTGAGTCCTGCCTCTGCTTCTGTTGCAGCTTCCTGCTAACACACCCGGGAGGCAGCAGATAACGGCACAAGTACCTGGGCCCCTGGCACCCATGTGGGAGAGCCAGGAGGAGTTCCAGGCTCCTGGCTTCAGCCTGGTCCAGGCCCAGCTGTTGCAGGCATTCAGGGGAATGGATCAGTGTATGGAAGCTCTCGCTTTCTGTCTCTTCCTCTCTGTCACTCTGCCTTTCAAATAATGAATAAAACTTTACAAATATGCATTGGTTATTTGAATTTTAAGGGAACAGAAAGAATCTTCACTGAGGTATTCTGGTTACAGTAATGAAAAGTTGACTGAAATACCATCCATAGCTCTGACAAAAGATAATCATAAAAATACCAAAGTACTGTCATCTGCTAGGATGTTATCTGCAATAGGCAGACGTCTGTACTGGGACAAATCATGTCTCCCCAAAGTTCAGAACTCACCAGAACCCCACTGTGACCTCAGTGGGAAAAAATGTTCTTGCAGGTACAATGAGTCAAGACACGTTACACTAGATCAGGGTGGACCCTAAATCCAATGCCTGGTGTTACTAAGGAGAGGCGAGGACACAGAAACACACAGAGGGAGAAAAGTCACATGAGGACAGATCGAGAAATCGGATTGAGTCAACAACTAGCCAAGGATCGCCAAGGACCACCAGCAACCACTAGCAGCAAGAGAAGTCACAAAGAATTCTTCCTGCCGGTCTGCAGAGGGAGTGTGGCCCACCAGACACCTCGATTTGGGATTCCAGTCTCCTGAGCTGTGAAGGGGTAACGGTCTGGTGCTGGCCACCACCAGTTAGGGTCACCTGGAACAGCAGCCCTAGAGAATCATACAGCATCTTACCTATGTTCTCTCCAGCCCACGTTCCAGGCCTGCAGAGCGGCGTTCCTGCCTCCTTACAGATAGGGAACCACGTGCCATCCCCTTTTCAAAGTCCACACAGCTGATACGTGGCGGAGCTGAGAGCCAAACCTCATCCAGCTCCAGGAAGCCAGTTATTTACACTCGGCCGATCAGCCACCCTCTTTTTAAAGAATGGAAATTTTTTAAACAAGGTGTCCTGAGAAGGCACACCTGACACGCTTGCCTGCTTGCTTCAGAGACCTCTGGCTGCTTCTGTCAGCAGGTCTGGCAAGCTCTGGTTCCAGGGAGACAACAACTGGCTCCCAGCAGGCAAAGGGGCTTCACGTGCACCTGTAACATTCAGTTGTTGGGACCACCCACCTCATATATACATACATTGATATATGTACATATATATATATACATTTATATATACACACACACACACATATAGATACGCATACACACAAAATCTTACATGCACTTTTTAAATATAGGTCGGAAGTTTTACTATATGCAACATGCAATCATTACTTTTGCTCATCACAGGGTCCTTTGTAGTCTCTGCCTTGAGCCATCGTTATTAGACGTGGCTCCAGTGCTAACAAGCCCACCTTGCGAACAGGCGGGCAAAAGACCCAAAACTCCTGATCCAGTAGAGGCGCAGAACTTGGAACGGCATCTGGTGTGTAATTATCTTTAAACAGGAAAAAATAGCCCATCTTCTCAGCTGCCCGTTTCGAGCAAAGACTAATTGGCCACAAGCACGTACATAAAAAAGGTGGGCTCCAGACAGCCAGGCCCTCCTTTCGCTGATCTACTGCACTGGATCAAGGTAAAGTAATTCCCTCATGCTCCATGCATGGACTATCTTGCATATCCCTTTCCCCACCCACATTTAAAGGGAACTTGGCTGATTGAGCCCCCCAAAATCACCAAGTTTTCTGAAGCTTCAATGAAAACAGAGTTTGTTTGCTTTCTCATTTAAATTTCAAAATACACTGGAGGCCAAGGAGAAATACCAACACCACAGGGCTTGTGCAGCCAGGAGGAGGAGCAGCCACCAAGTGTCACCACCCCAGTTGGAAAACAAAAGTTCAGGCGGCTGCTGCTTTTTAATAGGAGTTTAAGGCTGTGGTTGTCAGGAGCTTATAACGCCTCACTCACTCGGAACCTTACAGGGCCTCTTAGCTCAGCTGTGTCACAGCCACCCTGGGCCTCAGTTTCCCGCACCTGTACAAGGAGGAACCAGATAAATGGTAGTAAGCCCTTGGCTCGAGGTCTCCTTTGAGAAGACAAGAAGAGAGAGCTGGCTCGGCCCCAAGAGATGTGCCCAGGAGCAACCCTCAGAGTGGGCACTCAGGCTCAGCAGCCTGGCTTGCCAGCTTTGATAATGGGGCTGGGGAAGATGAAGGACAGGCACCTAGGGCCAGGATGAAGAGCGAAGGTTTTCAGCCTGAGGCTCAGGCTTCTGCCCACATCCCTGCTCCCGCTATGGCCTCTGTGCACCTGCACCTGCAGGACTCAACTCAGGAGACCCCTGAGGTTCATGGGCACTGGTAGAGCAGGGATACCTCCCCGACAGCATAAGAAAGGGGCAAAGGAACATTCCCAGGGTGCTGCCAGCTCCACGCGCAGGGCCCTGGGGGAGCAGCCATGCAAGCAGGGAGCCCTGAGATTCCTGGACAGGCCTTGGATTAGAGGAGCACAGGGACCGGGCAGCACACTTCCTTCTGCACCGGAGGCGCCTGGGCTGGGG